TCATCGACGGAACAATTCCATTGAAGCCACGTGGAAGCTCGTCGTGGGTGCGAGGAAGCGATGGAATCTATAGCGCCCAAATCAATCAGCAAATCTGGCAGCTTTTCGTTGGCGAAGAAATGATGACGAACGCACGCTGGCCAAACGCCTTGTGGTCGGACAAGACTGTATTTAAAAATAGCCATTGGGCGAAGTCTGCTTCGAGCTCAACCCGCGGAACAATGGTTGATAATGGTGTTAAAGACTTGGCTGGAAGTAGATTAAACGTAACAGGAGCAATGGCAGTTCTGAATATCGGAAGTTTCAATACTTTTACTGCTAAGGTCGAAAGTCACGTGCCTGGAAGAAGTTCCTTTACATATAAAGACACTTTTGGAAGTATAAAGTTCAAGCCGGCCAGTAACCAGTACTTTTTAGAGGACAAGCTCGAGTTCCTTGACAATGATGGCGAGTGGTTTTTTAATCAAAGCACGAAAACTGTCTATGTGAAGACCCCGGATGGAGCGACCCCCGCGGGGAGAATTCGTGGAAAGGTAAATTATTGATCTAATACTTAATCAAGCATGACTTGCCTATATAACTTAAAAAAGTAACTGGGAAGTTTCTGTCCAGCCTTGGCTGTATGACTTTTCATTACACTGGAAAAAAAAGCATTACTTTTTTTTTAACATAAGTGGCGAATTGCACCTTGAATTATTGTGAGTCTCGCAAAATTGTCCTCTCGATCTCGAAATCTAGTCAGCTGTCTGTGACAAGTCGCCGTGTTTTGTATTTCTTGTGAGTTTCTTAAAGATTAGGAATTGTTTTAGAGTTGAAGAAGCCGGTGCAGATCCACGAATTTTTGGTCGAAAGTCCGATTTTCTAGTCTTAAAACACATAACCTTTTCCAATTATAATAATAATTATCAAAATTCATTTCAGTGTCAAACGTATTTAGCTGTACGGGTAAAAGCTAAATGAGGAAACTAGAGTCTAAATGAGCCAGTTGGTGTTTCTAGACAATTGTTTGAAAATCAACTAAGATACGAAGAAATTCTCCTATTTTGACTGACGAAAGGGTTATATACTTCGACGAACTGAATATCTCTGGTATTATTTTTGCATTTCCAACAGGATAAATATGTATCATACGCGAGTACGTAAAAGTCGTCATTCTGTTTTCTTCGTTCCAGGTGCAGACCTATGCTTTCACTATTTCAAACTGCGAATATCTGCAATTCAAACAACTGACGTTTTTTGGCACCACTTTCAAAACGCTCCCAACGAGCAGACGGAGAGTTATTGGGAACCTAACGTTTGACTCGATCAATTTCAACTTCCCTTCATATTCCAAGCGCATGCTCGGTGTTACTGATCCTCCACTCTGGACATTCATCCGAGCATCTCGAAGGCGCAGCTTCGAGTTGATAAACAGCACTTTCTATGGGACTGATGGACTCGCTCTTGAGTACTATGGTGATGGAGTGCTGCTAAAGAATAATTTATTCGAGTACAATGATTGGTCTGTTACCCTCAAACAAACCCAGAATGGTGGATTCGGAACGGTGATATCACGGGGACCCAACGATAACTTTACTCGTAACACTTTGCGTTATAATGGCGCTGCGCATGGATATCGTCCGAATGGACCCAACCCCTTGGTGGAGCTCAACCACATTCACCACCAGTGCTGGGGAAATCTGCAGCACGATGGAGCGGGTATCCAGTTCCAGATCCCTTCGCAAACCAACGCTACTTGTCAGAAGAATTGGGTGCACACGAGTCCAAAACCTGGACTGCGTTTTGATGCAGCGAAACCACCTCGAGTTGGCACAAATGGTACCATGAAAGAGAATGTCATTTGGAAATGCGGTGGTATCATCGTTAAGGGTAACTATCATCATGTACTGAACAACCTTCTCTTCCACAAAGGAACTGGGGCGAGCCCTGCTCCAGGCTGCACCTTGTGTGTTCGAAAGTACTTCCCTTCAAGGCCTTTGGTTGAGATGAACCAGAAAACTGTGATCCGGCAGAATGCGGCAGATGTTGCAAACGGTGGCAGGAGTTCATGGCCTCTACCGGGTATTGTGACAAAGAACGTGATAGGACCTGTACGACCGGAAGTCATGGACGCAGATAATTTAGACTTCCGGCCCCGTGTAACCTCCAAATACAACGCGGATAGCGTCGGACCCTACAGGTATGATCCCAGAAACAGATTTTATTGGATTCCGGGGCGACAGCTCTACAAGGCTGATATCCCTGTGCCCCCGAATGGAAGTACCACTGTCAAGGTAGGATCAAAACTTCTCCCGAAATATTTGTATTAGGGCAAGTTTTGCACTTGGAAAATGATTGCAAAGCTTTTTCCAAACTGTATCTTTAATTGGTGTTCAATTCTTTCGTTACCCTTTCCATCAATCAGATGCAAAATTTAAGCTGATAATGGCCTAGATATCTGGTGTTCTCTGAGTTTTAAAAATTTTCCTTTTCATTGATTTTTTAGTTGTGAACATTGCACGCTTGGTTTTACGACAATCGAAAGAACACCTAAATATAAGAAACTGTCAAAAATCGAGTAAGACACAAGAATAAAAGGATGTAAAAGAGAACGAATAAAAAAAAAGCGTCATCCTTTTCTATGCGGCAGATGATGGAATCAGCTTAGTGTTAAGTTTTAAAAGTCTCTGACCTAGTAAGTCGGTGAAAAAGTTGCTGAAAAGCGTTAGCCCTTAATTAATCAGAGCGAATAGCGAACGGCCAAGAATCGAAACCTCAGCTTAAGAATTCTTTACAGTGGCCAATTTACATTATTGTTAAAACTAAATAATTCTTTTAATACCTCAGCACCACACTTTTCCTAGAAACTTATTCCTTTCATCGAAAAAAAATATGAAACGAGTCGACCGATAGACATATTGATGGACTGTTGGCGTAAACTAGCTCAAACATCATGCGCAAACGGTAGGCACCAAGAGTCTGATTAAGAAATTTTATTTCGGGCGGCTGCCACTCTTTTCTTAATACTTTTAAAGAGACCTCTTTTACCTGTAAGTACACGCTCTTAAACATCCTACGGGTTGGCGTGCGTGGGCTTACGGACAACTGGCCTTGGCAGATTAAACGTATTTTTAAAACTAAAACCCGAACGAGTCGTCCTGTTGGGGACTCTAAACAAGGTCATTTATAAATAGAGAGGGCGATGACCGTCCGAGAGTTACATCTAATTATAACGGTCAAGGACAAATCACTCAAAAGCAAAACTGTACGTGTGGTCTTTCGTCACATGACAAAACAAGGCTCTCAAGACACGCACATGGACTTCAAGGTAATCTTACAAGCCTGAACAATTCCCAAACGCTGAGCCAGAACACTCCTAATTTTAGCAGTTCATTGTGAACAATCACAAAACAAGGCCAGGGATAAAATTACTCAAAAACCAATAAAATTTATGGCCAAAATTGCACAATCAATCTCAAGTAATCGAAACAGGCTTGTCACATTCGACTGATGAATCTGTTCAGTGATAACTTCGATTCTACTCTGGTTGTTAGATCTTCACTCATTATATCACCGATAAAAGTAATTTTCAGGACTAGTCCTATTCACGCAGCCACATCAAACAATCGTCTACTACTCCAGGACTCAAACCACAAATTGCTAAGCGTAATTCCTTCTTTTCTTCCCTCTCAGTTCGACAGAGATGCAGTGATGTGGCTTAACGCATACAAAGCCTCCATCCATCATGTGTACTTTGGTACAGACAGGGCCAACGTCACCAGTGCAACACCGGCTTCAGCTGAGCACAAGGAGAGAATCATCGATAATGGTAACGTGCATTACCTTACTGAAAGTCTTTTAAAAGGATCTACATACTATTGGCGGGTTGATGCTGTGATTACTGCCGCGACTACTCATAAGGGAGACGTATGGACTTTTCAAACCGAGTGAGAACAGATCAGAACACTGGTGGAAAGGATGACCTCATCGTGATTCTCACCCAGACGCTGTGTAATTCAGTATATATTTAATCGTTTTTATTTGTGATTAAATTTAAGGTGGATATGAAAGTATTAAACAGGACTTCAAAAGGTGATTTTTCTTGAGGCCTTCGTGTTCATGATTTGGAAGAAAGGCTCGCGTAAGAGATTATAAATTTCTACAGAAACTTTTGTAGTGGGAAGAAGCGAGTCGCTGGGGAATGCAAGAACGGGCCGAATGATCCCCAAGAGTGACTACCATCTCCCCACAACATCACCCTTAAATCCGACAAAAAGGTCACGAGAATAACAGAAATGACCACAAACTAAAAACCTCTTGATTGTTAAAGAAATTCTCCTTGCCAACACACTAAGATACGTGTAGAGCACAGCCTGGAAAATGCGCATACGAATGTTAACCCCTAAGAGTGACCAGCTTCTAATTTCTCCTCACAATATCACCCTGAATTAAACATTAAGGTCACGAGAATCAAGGAAATGATCTATAGCTGAAAAAGCTCCTGATCGTTGAATAAATTCTCCTTGTCAGCGCTCCAGGAATTGTACGGAGAACAGTGCGGAGAAAATACATACTGATGGGTCAAGAGATCACGTTCGGTCCATGCACCTAAACAGCCAAAATGGCAGTCCTCGACAAACCTTATCAGAGGCACTTTGATATTCTTTTATTGTACAAAGATTCTGTGGTTGAGCAATACCAATCTTTTACCTTCGTGATATTTCTCGGGAGGAAAATATATTACATTATTTTACTTGGCTAGGCAAGGAATTCATTACTATACAATTATTTATACACTGCCGAGATTTACCACGCTTCAACTTTAATCGCTAAAAACAAGCCATTTCTGCGGATGAAAAGAGCCTAACCTAAATGTAATACTTCCCGAGACGCTACGAAAAGTGCCGAATATTTCCGAACCATTTCCGGAATGTTCTCGACCCTTACTTCTGTCTTTAGACAGGGGCTACTATTGCTGAATTTGGCTGGGGCTTGTGGTGCGATTAAAATCAAAGTGCAAACGATTTTAGGCAAAATTTATTTCATTCCTAGGAATTATATACACAGACTGAACGCCAACTAATGCAGGTGAAACCGCTAAGGTAAGAAATTCAGAACAAAGACAACTCGTTTTTATAATCAATACTGTATCAAGTGAAAGTATTTACGTGTAGTCAAATCAGCACAAGTTGGAACAAGGGATCCAGTGCAAAGGCGCAATGAACCAGATTAAAAAAAAACCTTTTCTACATACACACAAAAAAAAACATTGTGAGCCTCTTCTCTATATGAAATTTCATGCAGTTTGCAGTTCTCGCGAACGGTAGAGGCCAGAGTTTACAGAGACATTCGGATGATATGAGGAACAAGATAAGGTAAAGAGCAAGGGTATTCAATTTCTTTAAAGGTTATTAGTCACTTCAAAGGTAACATTCAAAGAAAATCCAGACATTTCGACCACATCACGCCGATCTCAACCAAATAAACCTGTCTCACTTCTTCTCAACTCTCCCCAGTCCTTGGATATTTGGTTCGCGCTGGCCTGTGCTTTAACCAAATTCTGCAATACTGTTAGGCCGTGACAGACAGAAGAGGACGATTTAGGAAAAGATAAGGGCGGGAAATAGGAGAATTTTTCAGGGTCAAGGTCCTTTGTTTTTGCGCCATAGTTCTCTGCCGCTGAAAATCTAGTCAACTAATTTTCCTTTCTACCAAATTTATGTTTCTTAGTTCAATAATTTAGAGCATTAGCTGTAAATTTAAGAAAATTCCCCTTAGATTCTCTTGACCTGTTTACTGGAAAACGGAGTGAAAATACAAGGAGCCTGTTAACCATTTCTGGGATTAAAAGTTAAGAATCGGTATTTAACGATAATTTAAGGGAATTTTTTTCCGAATGAAAATTTCGGCTCAACAATAACAGAGGCAGATGAATCGCTGAATTTGCAAGCACAAAAAACACTGCTCGTATATCATGTTTAGACTTTCACGAATAGAAGGGGAGAAAAAAAAAACTTTCCTACAACGAAAACAAGAGAACAATTTTTACTTTTGAGCTATGTAAGTCAATTATCTACTCCTAATTTAGGGTATAACTTCTTTTTCAGGAAAGAAATAAATTCACAATAAAAGCACTTTACCTCAAAGTCACGCGAGTGAAAGATGAGTGTTTTGCGCTACACTCCATCTACATCAACTTTCACGCAATCTTTGTTTTAAAGAAAACTAATTATCAATTCAATTCACGCAATACGCTTTCAGTCACGTCACAGGTTCATTCCCGCAAGAACCTCGTTGCAAAGTTTCTTGTAATGCCACTGGTTGCCACTGACTCGTCGCAAGCGCAATCCGTTAAGATTCTCCCGGAGGGGGCAGACTTCAATTTCAGCGCACACACCCCCCTGCTGAAGGGTGAATGTCTGCTCCGACTGTTCGTAAGCAATCTTGGCAGACCGCTGATCCAGCGATCTTCTTATTTCACTAAGAATATCAGGTATACACTTGCTAGAAGTCATATTAACAGAAAATGCCATACGCAAAGTGTTCGTTTGCGTCAAGTCGGGCGAACCGTCTCCTTTGCTAAGCGAATTAAGTAAAGAGTCTTGATGAATTGTTCCGTTGGGAGAAAAAGTTCTATATAGAAGACCGTCTCTAATTCCTAGTCCCTCTTCCAAATTAATATTGTTGTTTAACATGTCCCTTGCTTGGTTTTGCGATAAAACATTATTAGCGGTCGCTCTTCTGAGCAAGTCCATAGAATTCCAGGCGTCTTGCGCAGAAGGCACCGTATGATGTCGACGGTGATGCATTGGCGACCGCTGCCCGACGTTTCCCGCGAGCAACGCTGCCGCAGGATTTGTCCCGATAGTCCCGAGAAGTGTTGCAGGGCTTAGGGGCATTGTGCCACCGCCGAGTCCCCATCTACTAGCCCTTGCTAACTCTTCAAGATCATTCTCATTTATAACCGGATTTCCCAACATAGCAGCTGGAATACTGGTGGGAATTGGTGGAATAGTTCCCGTATCCGATACTGTCTCCGCCAAGCTTCCGTTTGACGCAGTCCTTGTGGTAGAAGTGGCAATGCTAGGTATGGGATACCGCTGATTGAGGGGCACTGCTGATATAAGAGGAGACGGCGGCGGCGAAGGAACTGGAGACGATAATGCGACGCCATCGGATAGAAACGAGGTCGTGTTTGCTTGTGTTGACATAACATTCTGCGAGAGAAAGTTCGATGTCTCAGTAGAGGATGCAGGCGACGAGTCCTCGATAAGAAGACTGTTTCTTGGCGAGTTCGAGGCAAGATTTTGTGCAAGAGTGGAAAGCGCGGAAGGATCCGAACCTATTCCTCCTGAAGTGGAGTGGATAATTCCTGCGGAGTCGAAAGGTGACTGGGTGCAGTGTTCAATGTTCAAGCGTTGCATCTCCTTGTGAAGAAGATCTTGGTGCTCCATCGACGACTGAGCTGGAATTTCCTCCAAATCTTCGACCGAACTCTGGAGTAATACTTCTACTCTTTGCCCATCGAAGTCCAACTCCTGACTCGTATGAGCAGGTGCGTACTGCTGCTGGAACTGAGCGAGTGTGGCGGCTAAAGAGTCAGCACTGTCCGACGCCCTCCTACTGTAAAACTGCTGCTGCAGATGAAGCTCGTGTTGTTCCTGTTGTCTACGCTGCTGTTCTGCTTCAGCAACTCGGCCATACTGCTGCTGGAGTTGTAGGCACTCCTCTTGCAGCTCACGAAGGCTGTTTCGTTTGGACCCGCTGCCGCTGATGCGCTCCATATGCTGCTTGTAGGCTAGCACCGAAGCAGATCCATCTGAAGCTCGTCTTGATCCGTTGTATCGAATCCCGGAGGGTGTAGTTATGAAGGGTCCCTCCCGTCCTGGACGGTCCCTTGCGGGAGGAAACACGGTCCGTCTGGTTTTTAACGGCACTTGTAATAATCGCAGTTGAAGCATGTCATCTGGCATTTCATTTGGTGAGGTGTGACGTTGCCGTGCCCCTCGACATGCCATGTACCGTGCAATGGCATCTTGATCTGGTTCCTGATCTGAGCCGCTGTCGTTTGCCCCTTCGCTTATTTGAGGGCTCGATGGCCCGGGCGAAACCGAGAATGGTGACTGACACACAAGTGGATTATGGCTGTTTAACGGCGAACCGCTTAGTGAGCCCGTGTGACCCTGATTATCGTCTCCTATTCCAGCCATGGCACGAAGAGCATTAAATTGCGCTATTCCGGCGGCTAGGCTCGTTGGTCCATCGGAGGCCCTTCTTCCCAAGGGCGGTCTAAGCTGGAACACACTGGGCACCTGCAGAATTTGCTCCTTGTATGCCAAAGACAGGTCCAGCGTGGGCGAATACGGTGGCAAACCTGGGTTCAATCCTAAAGCACCCTGGAATGCATCCTCAGTGGCCTGACTTAGAGGACTCAAGGGCTGTTGCACGAATTTCTGAGTGAGCATCTCTCGTAGCTCCGGCTCCATCAATGGATCCACAGCGGTCAGAGTGTGCCGCCGCTTCTCCAGATAGGTCTTCAAGCTTGGAGGGATCTCATCCGGCATCTTATCGTCTTCTTCGTCACCCTCCTGCGTGAGGTCCCACTGGTCCTGGAGGGGTTTCACTCGCCTCGTGGGCGAGTCAGGAGTCACTTGAACGGTAGGAACATTCATTGACGGCTTCTCAGCTCCAGCTAACTCGTCTTCAGTCTCCATCATTTCTGAATCACTTGAGTTGCCAGGTATGGCAGTTATGTTGGCGCAAGGATCGTGTGACGAGCTGGCAGATCTTTTGAGCTTTTCCAGAAGTGTGAAATAAATACCGGAGAACTGGTCGTAATCCTTCTTGAAAAGTGACTGCAACGGAAACATAGAAAATGATTTAAGATACAACAGTTATCGACTAGAGTCAAGTCGAGTTTGTCAGTTGATAACCAGCTCAAGTATCTAGAAAAACTTTCTGACGGAAAATTTAACTTCAGCCCTTGGAAATGTGATTGAGAAATTCCCTTGTCATATAATCGAAACCAACCAATTTCGTTCTCGTTTCCCCCTAACAAGTCGCTTTGTTCAAAACTGGCGTGTGAGTTTCTGAACAAGAATATAAGCTTCGACTTATCAACATTAACACTAGCTAGTATACCTGACTTGAAGATAAAACTTGTAAGACACATTTCGAACTAAGGCAAATTCTACCCCAAGAAATTTTCATTCCTATATTGTTGGGAATTAAGCGCAGACCGGAAGAGGAATCTGCCTTCTCCTGGCGCGCTTTGACATCAACAAATCAATCAAAAAGCCCTCCTTGCTTCATCATCATCCATCAACACGACCGAGGAAATTTCGTCATTATGAAACTTGAAAAGTTTAACAATAACTACAAATAAAGCTCTGAGAAGGCAGTAAAACTTAAGAAAGTAAAGAAATAAAATTAGCACCTGGATAGTCTTTTCCCGATCAATTCCTCTGCTTTGCATTATTGTCAAGACTTCTTCAGTCAGCTCCGAGTCAGGTATCGTGTCTGTTGCTAGAGCGCTAGCTTTGTCCTCCTCAGTCATCTCGTTCAGCCATTTGTGGTTAATAATCTGCACCATTGTGTACCTCTTGGCCACATCACGAACCAACATGTGACGAATGAGGTGCTCACATTCTAAATAAAGACAAAATTGGTACAGTAAGTCGTTTGGTTGGTTACGTAACTGCCGGTTTCTATGGTAAGAAGCGACTAGGAGTCTAGTCCACCAGGGCAGGATGCGAGTCCAACGCAGATTACCCCTGAGGGATTTTGCCAAGTTTTTCAGCCTATGGAAGACGCGAAAGCCGGGTTCGACTCAAAGTGAAATTCCTCGACTTTTTTCCTGACTTTTCCCTGACATGTGGGAGCCATGTTATAGGAGGAGAGGGGAAGGGACTTAAAAGCTGTAAAACGCACCCATGTCCACCCGGTCCCCTTCCCCCTAGGCTGGCATAGAAAGAGGGCCACGCAACAGGCTGCGTGAGGTCCTCGTTCCGCGAGAGGAAATTGCCTGCCTCCAGCGCTCTACCAGACTGTGTCCGTCTGAACTGATTTCATTTTAATGTTGCAAAATCCTTTCAATCCGTCAATCTATCACTTAGGAATTGACCCGCAATAGGAAAGGGCATATCGATCTCATCTGTTCGCGTGATTTAAGCGAGGCAATGAAGTGTGAATACAGACGAAACAACTTGTTGTTTGTCTGATGGCTAAATTTGATAATTCGCCAAGAGAAGGCAAGCATGTCGAAGATAAAAACCTACGTGAAGGTTTTTGCATCAGCAAACCTACAGCCTACATTTCACAAGATCTTCCTTCCCAGTAAACGTGAATCTTCTCCGTCAATGTTTCATCTCAGTTAATTAATCCCCCTTCTGCGTTTTTCTATCTTTAGTTGTTATTTTCGACAACGTGGTTCTATTTATATATAAATAAATATTCTATAGATAAAACTTGAAGCGTGACCATTCAGGTAGGCTAATTAGAAGTAACTTCATGTCGCACTGTTTGTTATGCCGACCAAAGTAGTTATTTCAGTGCAAGGTCCGCTACATTAAAAAGTTTATTTGAATTGAAATCTTTCGACTCGATTGAACCCAGAGATATAACAAAATATCTAACTAAAATTGTTTTCTTGCTCCTCATTTTAAGTAACGGTACCTCGAGGGAAAAAACTCTGTCCGTAAGTTAAAGTTCGGACCTTGAACTCCGTTAGTAAGAGATGTATATGTATGTACTTTCATGTAGTTCTCTTGTGTATACTTTAAAAGATTACTTTAACTTTCAATCTCTGTAAGTGAAGTGTTGCTGAGTACCATTCAGATAAAATTTACTGATCAGTACTTTCATATGGTACTGTTTATTTTGAGAATCAAACCCTCGTGACCATTCAAATCCCATCTGCAGACCATGTCTAAGTCTTATTTTAACTCAGTATTCAGCAAATTCACCTCATCTATAATATCATGCTAATAATAATATCATTCATTCGAATCAAAGTCAATGTTTTAGGTGAATTACTGACCTCTAGACATGAAGAAGGGAATTCTGAATCTGCCATCCAACACACGGGACCTCAAACTTTGCAGTGTACTGCCATCGAATGGCAAAGCCCCACACACTAGCACGTAGAGGACTACACCCAAACTCTGAAAAGTTCAAACAATCAATTAACAGAAAGCCCAGCGTAATCACCGCAGCCAATCAGAGGGAAGGAATAACTAAATTTGTATTATCCATTGAGTTGATAACGAAAACTGGACTCCGTTAAGAGTTTCAAAGCTGACGTTTCGAGCGTTGGACCTTCGCCATTCCATTCTCTCTGACGAAGGGCTAACGCTCCACACCTCAGCTTTGACTGCGAGTGAACTCTTCATGGTGGCCAATTTACATTATCAACTCAGTTGATAATCCCAAATCACTTTGTTCTACTCTCCCACCGACGCCGGCAGCACCACAGTTTTTTCTTTTTTAACTTACCACCCATTTATTCAGGAGAGATGAGCCAATGAGATTTCAAAGAAACTACGTTTGCCCCGAAAGCCCGGCGGATGACCATTGCGCGTTTGATTTCAGTTTTGGATCTGATTGGACGAGAGAATAGCACGAGTTTTCTGGACCAATCACAGGGCAAAGCAAAGTAAAACTAGTGCAATTCATGGTTTCATTCGACAGCCTACTGAAAACTACTTTATATCCAAATGAAACCCGAAATCACACTTACATATCTTCCCAAGCAAATTCACGTGTTAAGGAGGGCTTGCTCTCCTAATACATTACCGACGCAAAACTTTTCGACAACATCTATGAGAGCAAAAGTTTCCCTTCAGTTAACCTCTCTAAATATTCCGTGGAAAGTTGCTGTGGTCAAGTCATCTTATTAGAATAGTTCGTGGTGACAGGTATTTCTAAACGTTCCTTTTTGTTCCCTGTGTTCAAAACAGTCCTAAACGCAATTCTTTCTCAACCAGCCCGGAATATGTATCCGTGGCCGCACAGCTTGATATGTCATGTCTTACTCACCCAAATGTCTACTTCCGGTCCACAGTAAGCTTTCCCTTCAAAGAGCTCCGGAGCAGCATACGGAGGACTTCCGCACCACGTTTTCAGATGCTTTCCTTCTTGAAATAAGTTACTGAATCCAAAATCTACGAACAGGAAGAGAAGTGTTGTTTTAAGTTCCGAGGGAAAAAAAAACAAAACAAATATCCTATTACATGTACCACATACACCTGTACACCAAAAAAAATTCATTCTCCTGGAAAATATGCCTACCTGCAATTTTAATATTAAAATTCTCATCCAATAGAAGATTCTCTGCCTGAAAAGGTAAAAAAAAAAATTAGTTCTTCAAATGCACTTCACCCTCTGCACTTTTACTCATTAAACACAACCTCGTTACTGTTCTTTATACATTTCCTGCGATCCTGACAGAGAGGATTTGTTCAATAATCAAGAGCATCTTTGGTTGGAAATCATTTCCTTCTAACGACATTCACGTTTGATTCAGTCGTGATATTGTAAGGAAAATTTGGGTGTTTGTCACTTACAGGCGTGAAAGGGCCTAAAAGTGACCAGCATCCAATTTTTCCTGGTATTACCTACCCTGAGTCACATATCAAGGTCATGAGAATAAAGGAAATGATCACTAACTTAAGACGGTTTTGATTAGTAAACAAATTCTCCTTATCAGCACATTAAGAAATGTATAAAGAACATTATGGAGAATATGCATACTGATGTTAGTGTGTAGGTTTGGTGAAGGTTTAGGATCCACCTACAAGGCGGTTTACATATGTAAAGAGGCTGGTGCTTAAAGAGCGAGGCTTCCAACTTACAAAGTAACTCTTATCAGCCCTGTTTGTCTACTTCCCCCACGTCAAATTCGACATGGTAGTCATCAACTATTATTTCGTATTTGAACATGTCCAAAAATAAGTGATAGTCGATGATAGTTGATGATAGCTGCTGATAAGGCATGATAGTTCGTGTTAAAACACGCCTAATAGTTGAAACTATCATCAACTATCATGATCGTTTGAACATGGCTTTACATATAAAATGATTACAGGAGCTACATTTCATTTAAGACCAATGTTTCACATGTATGTCCCATGTATCAAGGCATTGCCTAAGCTGAGGTGTCTCAAACAAAAAATTCCAAAGTCCTTACTTTTAAGTCTCGGTGTACAACACACTGCTTATGGCAACTGTCAACAGCTGATGCAATTTGCAGAAATTTTTTCCTTGCCTCCTTTTCAGACATTCTACCATGTGCAACTAGATAATCTAAAGCAAAACAAATGGAGAAATAAAAATTATTAGCAAAACACATATGTACCAAGAAAGCGCATACATTTGTGTCAAGTTACTCAAAACCTCAATAATTAGCAAATATTCACCAAAGTGGAGATAACTAGTGATGGATATTTACTAAGCCACAAAGCAGTGAGGTAAATATCCACCACTTTCCACAACACTAAGTTGAATATCAGTTTTAGCATATACCACCACACAAATACCAAAAGTAGAGTTTATTTTTTTCAAAATACCAAAGAGGTTTGAAAATAAACTCGTCTTGAACCTTTTATGGTTTCCCTTGACAAAATGATTTATTCAGAATCAACCAACAACCAATACAACCAAATTTCAAACAGCAGTTTTTGTTTGCATGAACCCTTTAACTCTCATGATCTAACTGTTAATTCTCCCCTCTAGCTGCTACACATTTCCTTGTAAATTAGCAATGAGAATTTGTTGGTAGATCAAGATAACAGCTTCCACCTGATTGCTGGATAATTTATGGATGTTAAAGGGAGAAGTTACATGTTAATCGCTTCTGGGGGTTGAGACAAGCTTGTGAGGACTCAGCCGATGAAGATGAATGCTCACCAAATATTTCTCCTTTGCTTGCATGTTCTGTGACTAAATACATCATCCTGTCTGATTCCATCACCTGTTTGCAAGACAACCAAAAAATAACATTATGTCTGTACCTTAGTTACTTTTCAACAGGATGTTTTCAACTTGAAGTTAACATGTGAAGATAAAGTCTTCATGGCTAATTGAGCTTGCTCAAAACATAATTTTAAGTTTTCCATGCGCAATCTGTTTTTAATCTCCTCCATCCCTCACAATTCATGTTCCCTTTTTATTAAATTCTACATCCTCTTCATTTGTCCACCTTTACAAAGTATCATTTTTAAGTTTTCAAACAAAGCTGCATGTTAATTTGCAACTACATGTACCACCATACACCAAAAATGGTTGCTCCTTTACAAAAGACTGTGTTAATTGCCCCAGAAAGAGCTCTTACATTGAAAAGAGGAGGATAATGATACCAGTACTTCACTGGCACATGTACTTAAATCCTAGCAACAGAAAATGTGTAACTGATTGAGAAGCATTTACGGATCACATAGGCAGTGAAAGTGCTGATTATTATAATAACTATTGATCAGAGGTTTTGCGGCTTCCAGTGAGAAATGCAACAGAAACCTTTTTTCAAGCACTCCTTTTGTTTCACCTTTCAAGATTAATGTTTTTTTGCATATGAAAGAAGAGCATTACATTCACAAATTTACATGTGTGACTGATTTTTATTCATACTGTATAAATTTATGCTAAATTACACATGCATTTTGATCCATCCTACTTAAGATCTTATAGAGGACGGACACAGATGACATCACCATGAAGAGCATTTCACCTTTCTATTGCACAAAAACAAATAAGATTCCATTTTGCCCTACATCTGTTAAGTGACAGATCACAGGAGACATCAACCAATATGGTAAAATCATCCGTATAACCCTGGGCTACAATTTTGATGTCATCTATTTCTGAACAGACACGCAGCAACAAGGATTCTACATGATAACTAAACAATTAATTTCAAAACACAACAAAACAAAAACTAGAAATCTAAGACATTTACCATGTAACTAAATGGAACAATGTAACCAAGAGCAAACTGGAAGAAAGATAGACGCATGATGTAAGGCAATTTTTGCACATGTTGCACATGACAGGTGTCGCAAAACAATTAGTCTTACAATAGCTATGGCTACATCATAAATAATTTTTTTCATGGCTTCCAGGCATGTTCAGACGCCAAACAAATTTATCCTCAATTGTTTCTCCTCGCCGACAAGTCAAAATATCAAAAATATGTACTTCACTCCTTTACGCCCCAACGTTAGTAAGCAAATTCTCCACACTGCTCTTTATACCTTTTTTAAGCGGCACACAAGGAGAAATTGTTGAATCCAGTTCCTGCTCCAGTTGACAATCATTCACTTATTTCTTGTTTCCTTAATGTTTGACTCAGGGGTGATATTGTAACGAGAAATAAAATGCTAGTCACTTTTAGAGGTTTAAGGGTCAAGTAATAACCAGTTAGACAAATATATACCCTTAAGCCTTGTATGCTCGAACACTTGTCGCCGTAGAGTTCAAAAGTTTTGATTGCTAAAAGTGCCAGCTGCATTTGTTATTTGCATATTCAAAAGATTCTCTGTTAATTTTTTTTGTACATAAACCACTTTCCATTGTGTTTTTTAATGCAACCACTCAGGAATTGAAACTCTACAGCTGTAAGTGTCTTTTCATAACAACTGTTGCTTAATGTAATATTCATTGTTGTCTCTTTAGTATGTTTACAGACATCACTGTTTTTCTTTTGTTTTCTCAAACTGCGAACCTGCCTTAGCATTCACAAAGCTGCAGAACACAACCTTCTCATCTGCATTCTCCAAATTTACGACTACAAGCAGCTGCAAGATTTTGTGACTTCACTGTTTCTAATGTAATGTTTGAAAGCTGTTTACATGATTGGTCAAAATGACTGTCAAACCAGAAATTTGTTTACACAAATTGTCATCTTAACCAGATATTGCATGTTGACCCACAGTTACTTTGAGCCCTAATTATACCAAAAAATTTCCAGAGAGAAAAAAAACAACTACCAAACAAACCTATTCCAAACAGTCTCAAACCCTTCGAATGAATTTCATTTTTTCAAACTGATAAGAAACCCCCTTTGCTTTTTTGCTGAAGTTTTAGTCGTATTTGAACTGCAGAGAGCTCATGCCAGAAAACTACATGCAAAGTTGGCATTAGTTAATTAAAAACAAAAATATAGTTTATAAAGTATGTTAGAAACTCTGTGGCATGTTATATGATTGTTTTACACATACAGCTGTACAGTACCATAAAACCTTTGAAGAGAGAAATTTTTGACACAATGTTACAAGTCAATACTAGTCTTGAAGGGCACAACTACTTTAAAATCTATCAAAGGGATGTGTTTCTAAAGAAACTGTCATAGTGGTGCTGTGTCAGCTGAGGGATATTACAAGATACAAGTAATTTGGTTTTACCAACTAAGTTAATGTAAATTGGCCACCATTATGAATTGCTAAAGCTGACCTTTCAGGAGTTAGCCCTGCATCATTTGCTCTGATGAAGTGCTAATGCTCTTTATGGTGGCCAATTTACATTATCACCTCAGTTGATAAACCAAATTGATTTAAAATCTCCAAGCAATAGAAACAAGAATCAGATGCATGCTGATAGTCTTCTGATTTCCACTGCGTTTTTGTTTTCTTAGCCATTGTTATTTTGACTCTACTCAACAGTGTATCAGACATAATACAAAAGTTTACATAGCAATATTCCAATGGTTGTGGCTATGCTTCCTTTGCAATAAAAATGAAGACTAAAACTCCAACTGAAGAAATTCATATTGGTAGATTAATAATTTTTTAAAGACTAGGAGGACCACCCTTTTGTAGGTACTGTAGCAATCAAAAATCAACATCCAAATGTGGTTTCAAAAAGGGCTTCAAGGTTCTTGACTTCCATTGTCAACAACTTGAATTCCAAAAAAAAAATTCACTTTGTCCCATATGAAGCTGGCACAACATCTAACTTTTCAAGCAAGTTCCCTGTTGCTTACATGGTAGAACTAAAGATCTTTTCTATAACTTTCCTAAAACACAAATTCTTATTTCAGCTTGTTTTTACAGCTGTTTGTTCATAACCAATAGTGTTTTTATTCACACAAAGTGCATCTCTTTATCTTGCAAAAATAAGTTTGCAATTTCAAACTTTTGTTTTGGAACATGCTCGGTTTTGAAAAAATAAACTCAGTGAATTATGAGTTTTTAACCAAACACAACTTAATTAATCATAAGTAAAATAAAACTACATAGTAAATGGAATGCCCAACAGACTCTGTTTTCCATGGTCTCCAAATAATTGGCAAACAAATTTGCCCAACCATTAAAAACCAAAAGACAATGTGCTTCTGTCTGTAGATGAAATATGCAGAAACCTCTTTGTTGCACTCTGATGGACCAAACCGCAATTCACAATGCATTTGTCTACCACAGGAAATGCCAATCCACAGAAAGCAGGAAGGATAAAAATAAGTAAACAATGTATAACCTTGTGAGACAATTTACACATTGAATTTTTAAAAAAAAAAAGTTGTCCCCTGGGTACATGAACCGGAAAGAAGGGATACCACCATGGCAGACAAACTTCATTTACATAATCAGTGATATAACCTTATTAGTCTTTATTTGTGATAAATCTTATTTTTACGACAATAATCCTCTTCTCCCAGGAAAACTTGGTTACTTTTCATCATTTACCATATGGATTCAATTGTGGTTCCATGAGAGCAGAACGTCATCAGAGCTGTTAAAGAAAGCTGGTATCTCACTTAAACCCCTGTGCAGCCTCACATCTTAAGCCAAGCAGTCACTTTTACCACATTTTATCATTGGCAACGATGAGAAAATTGTCCCTTCACTGAAATACCATGGAAAGAAAATTGCATTCCCATTATTTCCCAGTTTCTGAGAAGAATTGAATGGATCATTTACTAACAGCAGGTTTAGTTGTTTGGATCAATTCCATGTTCAGAATTTGCTCAAAAGTTTATATGAATGTAACATTTTAACAGAAAAAATTTCCTGTCTTGTAGGTAATCAGATGAAAAATATGGGATCCATGACAACATGGAAGCATACTACTGTCGAACTCATCGACAAGCCCTGATTATGCAATTGAATTTAAAAGAGTAACATAGCTTGCGTGTTTTAAGCTGTTGAATCTAATTCTTCATGGAAGAATACCTTTTAGGTGACAATAACATTTTTACAATTGTATAAATCTACATGCCCAAAAAAAAAAAAGATGATTCCAGTTGTAACCCTGTGGTTAAACAAAATGCTTTGAATATTGATATAATGCACATTACTGTAAAGTTCACTGAGATGCGACCACAATGTCTCTCGAAATGGCCTATCGTGCTGATTTGCAACGACAGTAGTGACTGGGCTTTATAAGATTTATTGCACCGCAACCCAAGCAACACAGGAGCACATGCGCATTACTTGAAATACATGTAATTTGAGATTGTTTTCAAAGCATAAATTTTGCAACAGTTCTTAACCCACTGACAACAAATAACCAACATACAGCCAATTACGACCACAGGAAGAAATAAAACGATAACCAAAGAACATGTGCGTGTACAATGTTTTTGTCAACCTAGATCCTCGACAAGGAACCGAACCATTTAAACCATTTTGCAATAAAAGTTATTTAATGTACTTAATCTGTTCATGGCATAAAGCCATACTGATATCAACCGCACACTCTTAAACATATATCAAAACTAAACACTTTAATCACAGTTTGCACAAGGATCTTTAAAAATTCACACCAAACATCTCAAGCTCCATCAGTTACAATCTGGTTTATCTCCTTCACTTTTAGCCATTTCTCTGCTGTGTCTCATGAATGTATAGTTTTTGTTTAGTGGTTTCACACAGTCAAAAAAAGGGAAAAGACATATCAGGGAATATTCTGCGAGTAAAACTGGACATCATTCAGGATCTAACATGCAACAGTAACACACGAAAATATCAATTTCAAACTACTCTATGGCTGGACAACTTTGGGGTGTCAATATCACAATATAACACAAATTGCTCCCAATCAACAAGAATAATCTCCCACTGAAAAATGTAACACAACATAAGACTAAACAAGAATCTGCTTCCCTCTGTCGATTGAAAAACTTTGCTCTCTTTGTATTCGGAATCACGCAGTATGTATTTACTATGGGCTTTCTCTTTGTGTTGCTCACATGCTTGGAAATCTGAAAATAATAAATTTCTTTCAAGGCCACAAAAATTTGCCCCTTATAAAAACTTCAAATAGTGTTCAACAGCAAAATTTATTTAGACCGCAAAAAAAAAAATCCTACTAAATTTGCCTATACAAATGATGCAGTTCTAGACAACTGGCTCGTAGTCAAAAATTGTATCTTTCACCTCTTGCAAATGAGAACAGATAAATGATCCTAGTAAGACCATGATTGTATTAGACAAAACCAGGGAAATAACCAAGATTAAACGATACTGACTGCTCGACAGAGAAATCTTAATTAAGGAGAACTAACTTAATTATGCACACTACTTAATTACAACTAGCTTGTACCAGAGTGATTCAGTAAGGGAAAAAAGACCAGTATGAAGAGCATGCAAGTCTGACAGTCAATATCTTTTTCATTTCCAGTGTAAAAAAAAAAAAACTTTAATTTTTTTAATTTTTCAGTTGTATAATAATGCATTTTTTTAAACAGAGAAAAAAGTTGAGTCATATTTTTGGCAAGTTTGCCAAGTATGACCCAAAGTCTTCAATAAAAATCCTCATAATTCAGTCTTGAACATTGGGATTAGGAACCTCTAAGTTAAAAATTATATAAAAAAAAATTATATAACTTTGAAAATAGGATCTCTATTTAAAGCATTAATGCCAAAAGAATTTGTATCCAATTCATTCAAAATATTTACTGTGTCATTTTATGCTGTCAACAGCTATGGTGATCGCTCTATTGTTCGATCTCCAGCGAATATTATCCCTGGCTACATAAACTTCTCAAAAGCACTTCAAACGGCCTGCCTAGAGACTTTGATGGAAGATAAAACACCTTTGAAGTCGACGTTTTATCTCTTCGTAGAGATAAATTGAAATTTCGTACAGGGTATTGGTGAAATATGAGAAGAAATTCACGTTGGTCAAGTAATACTCAAGAAATTCATAGTGTAAGAAAGCGTACAATTATACATTGTATGGTGTCGATGGTTCGATTAACGATTGCAAGGTGCCTCAGCTGGGAGCTAAATGTTGATAACCTTTCCGCGAAATAAAACTATAGCCCATTCTTTCCAAGCGCTTAGGTGACTCAGGAAACGTGTACAATGAAAGCACAACTAGGTTTTTCATGCAAATCAAAACCATTTGGTGAATCTTAGGGGATTAGATACCGTCCTGGTGCACTGGAACAAGCGATGTTAACACGTTTTGTGGATTCATCCATGTGTGTCGAACTCACGTCTGACAAATTGTTTCGATCGAAACAGATGGTTCCTCTGTATAAAGTAGTTGCAAGCACAGACAAAAAGCAATTGCAATGCTAGTGGTCCACAAGACAGGAAAGAAATGGAATATTTATAAGGCTAAATTACTTGCAGTTTAATAATCCGAAGACAGTAAAATTCAACCGTTAAGACTCAAACAAACTCGTTTCATCATGAAAAGGTTCACACCTTTCATAAAATGAAAGCATTAGCTCTGGAAAACTTCACAACAATTCTCCAATTTACAGCTGGGTTTAATCCACGCAACGACACCATTTCAAACAACCGCGGTTCTCAATTTGTAAACAAAAACATCGACGGTGAGAATTTGTATATTTACACTCCAGGCGAAAGAGAATATTTTGCAGTGAAAGTGCGCAAATTTCGCTTTAAAATTTGCAAATTAAGATTGGGCCCAATATGTGATCATTTTCCACAGTATATAAAGCGAAAATTAACCGAAGATTGCTTGAATTTGGAGGAGGCCATTTTATGAAACCAGCAACGATTACAGTGCAAAATTTCAAGTGAAATTCGTTTAAGTAATGCACGTGAATCTGAGGAAAGCAAAGAAGAACAATTTTTCCGGCTGAGTTTCACCTCCACGCTGATTAAGACAGAGCTGAACCCGTTCCGATATCAGCCAAAGCAGAACGTGACACGAGCACTTAAGGAGTGAGGCCTATACTCTGCTTTTCTCGTCTTGCCGACAAGCAATCTGTTGTAAATGTACAGGTATTGTGAGCTGCAACACGCTGTCTGTCACGAATAGAAGAAACAAGAATTGCAGCCATTCTTTTATTGAAAAAGCCTTGTGAACGATTTTCAAATCAAACCGACTCCGAAATAAATTTTTCCACAGAAGCACATTAAAATTGCTGTTGCGGAGACAAGCGCCGGAGATGAAAAGATTCGAAAAAGGTGGTATCCATCTGCGAACAGACATGACAAGTAAAACCGACCAAAGGGCATAATAAACCACAAGTGTATAGAAGAAAATACTTTTACAAATAACACTCATTACTCACCTCGTAAAGTTTAATAATGTGAGGATGATCCAGCATCTTCATTACATGAACTTCGCGAAAAATTTTCTTTAAATTTTCTTGATCCAATTGACTTTTGTCGATGATTTTAATAGCAACCTAGTCGAAGAAGATGCCAACGAAAAATAATTCAACAACTTCGCAATGAAATAATACACAATATAACAAACTACATAACTGTTTCGGTCAACCGTTTGGATACGAAGTTCGGTTTATGGCTGTTTAAAACTTGGAAGTGACAGTAAAGAGTCGTTGCGTTTCTATCGGTGCGCTTCTTTAAGAGAAGTCACGAATGAAGTCGAGGATTTCGCTAAACGCCGTACCTTTCCCTTTGTGATGCAGTGAGTAGCAAGCTTGACCACTGCAAAATTTCCCTTTCCGATGGTCTTTTCGATATTGTAGTAACCAATTCGTACAACACTTCCATGGCGATTATGCCCTCGCGATTTATCCGCCATTTTCGCATGATTACATGTTCTCAACAAGCCAACTGCGCATGCTAAAAAATCACGCGCGAAATACGCGCGTGGAAAACTTGACCGGAAATTGAAAAATACGCGTTGATTTTCCATTGTGAATGACGTCTGTGACTTTTTCCAATAAAGTAGCGATTTGCAGCTGCCTCGAAACTGCTAGAAAACAGTCATTTCCTAGTTTCCTTATGTCATCCGTTATTTAGCTTGGGTAAAACAATTCGCCGGTGTTGTCTTAAATTTATTTCGTAGGGTGTACGTTGCGCTTGTATATTATTTTGCTTCATTTTCTTTTATTTTTTAAAGAACTGCCGCATTTTAATGAAAGCGAGAGCAGCTGAATTGTACAGCTTGCCGGAGGTGGAAATGAAGTAGCATTTACGTCATGGATCGCTTAAAAGAAACCGAACATAGCAGCAACTTAAACTGTCAAAAAAACCGAGAGAGAAATTAAAACGTCGATGTCACTCAAAGACGAAATTGAAATGCTAAACTGTCATCGGCGTTTCATTATCTAGCCTTCCTTTAAGAAACTTTACAAAACTCTCTCTTGATAGTTTTTGTTATGCTCGCCTGCTGCGCTTATCTTTAGTGGCAAGGATGTGTGCTAATGCCATGTTTTTTTTTTTCTGATGCAAATGATTTGATATCTTTTGCAACGTGACGAATATCGAAAACAAAGCTTTGAACACTGGACGACAAGATAGTGGATCGTGAGTTTGCGTGAGCGTGAGCGTTAAAAAGTACGTTAATTCGCTCACGTTCAGAGCAAACAAACCACAAAAAGAAACCTGACGAGGCTAAAATTCTTAGCGGTATTCTTTAAATTTGCAAGAGAAACTGAACGTGACTTTGAAAGCATCTCTATGTGATCGTTTCCAAGCCAGAGCGGATATGGTTTTCTGGAAACTTCCGTGACGAAAACAAAGTATAGTTTTACAAACACACTAAGCTTCGTAGCCCGGATGGGCGCGAAGTCTCATCGTTCTTTTTCTGAGCAGCACTTTAAAGTAATGATGTAGCTTTGAAGCTTTAAAAAAAATTTGCAAAAAAAAATGTCTTGTAATGAGTTTCCTAATTTTTGGCAGGCTGTGTTGTCTCTCAATTAAATTAACGACGTCGCCTCTAGACTATGTGTTTATTCTGAATGTGGCCTTTAATTAAGCAACCTTTGAACTTCCTAGGAGGGGGAGGGGGAGGGGAGGGGGCCCGGGGGCCCGGGTGCGAAAGTGCTCGATTGTCAAAACTGGAAGGGGAGCCACAGATGAACAAAGTTAAAAAATAAAAATTAAAAATTAAAAAGGATTCAAATTCTGCAAACAGTGTGCAATGAACATTTTAAATACAACGCAGCTCGCATTACAAATGAACTGGCGGTTGGATTTTGCTCAAATTTACGGGCGTTTGTTGACGAGCACGTCATCACCCTTTCCCGGAACATTCGGCTCTCACCGAAGGGGGGCCATCTCTTTTCCCCCAATGAAATGCCATAAAAAAAAGATTTGATGTTAAAAATAATCTTAATTTAAAAAAGCCTTATATCGTGCTTTACAACCACATGCAGACATATATATATGTAGTAAGAATTCCCTCAGTTAAATTCCTTTTCGGTGTAGTTTTTTCTTATGTTATCCCTTTTTGTCTTTTTCTTCGGGAAAAAAAGGAACTGATTGAAATCTTTGGAGACAGAGAATGGCTGAAATAATTAAAAATGGGGGTAAATTTCTAAAGAAAGTGTGGTGCAGCGTCGGTGTGACTAGATAATTTGGTTTCATCCACTCACATGTGACTGAGTTAATGATGTAAATTGGCCATCGTAAAGAGTTTCTGGAGCTGAGGTTTCGAGCGTTTGCCCTTCTTCAGAACGAAAGAAATGATATAATGAATTAAGCTTGGTAAGTAAACTGTTAGAAAGTTCCATGATGTTATTCAGTTCATACGCCACTTGGAAGGAAAAAGAAGTACCGACTCCCATTTCAGGTCTAATTTCTAGGCAATTTTACATTAAACAGAAATTTGGTCTGACTGAGAGGCTGCCGTACGCATTTGGTTACGTACAGAAATGCACCATCATTATTTTTGCTGATGTTTTTGTTGCTATTTTTGTTGTCGTCTATCACTCTTCCCGTTGGGAAACGTCAAATAAAACTGTCACGTTACGTTGATGTGAAAAAAATGTGAGGATGTGGTAGAATTTTCCAGTTTCCAGTCTTCCTCTTCTTCTCTTTCCGTTACGACCCCGCCTCTTTCTGTATAGAAAATACCTGAGGAGGATCTTTAAAACATAAAAGAAAAAAATCGGCAGTAAGTGAAATGAAATAAAGAAGGGTTCTAAATACTAAGCCATGTTAATTAGATCTTTCTTGAAGGACTCAAGACTTGGCTTCTCAGCCAGATCTTCCGGAAGAAGTTCCACTCCCTGACAGTTCGTGGTAAGGATTATAGTGTTGTGGTTATCTGTTAAGTGGGAAGTACTTGGTAGGATCGTGAATTGATGTGTCGGTGTTTCTGATGCATGTCCACGTGCAGGTTATCAACTTATCAGTACTAGAAAATAGCAAATTTCATGAATTATTGTTTCCTTGGCCCTATGTTCAATACAAAATCTAAAATGCTATTTTTCGAAGGGCAAGAATTTACAAGGAAAAACTCGTCATACTATCCCACCCACCCCGAAAACGAAATTGTACATGTCAAGTCTTGAGCTACTTGTTGACGTTATTTAATTCGGCCTTCACGAAAAGTTCTGCCGGAAGGCTTTGCCCACACTAGGAAAACATGTCCTCTCTTGTCCAAATTTTATCGAATGTGTCCTTAAGGAAGAGATCTGTGAAAGTTACATTGTGAATGTGGACGGGACTACTGGATTTGTCATTGCCACGCTATGGCTTTAACTTCATTTTGTGTCGGGTGAACCAGATGAAAGATGTGATACGATTCACGCTAAAACTAATTAATTGAGGGTCCAACTTCCCCTATCGTACCGGAAGTTTGCCCTAGGCATGCACGTGATCAAAATTGATATATTATATTACTCGTGGGCAGTATAACTCTTACAACCTAGGCGCGAACCATGTAAACGGTGACTCAACAAAATCGATGCGAAAGTTTGTAACTATGAAGATTGAATATTCCGAATGTTGGTTGAGGACCTGGCTAAGAAAACCAGCGGTTTTCTTTGTTTACATTCCATGCTCAAGTTTTTTTGGCCCTGACCACGAGTACAAAATAAATCAAAAGACGGTTAAAAATTCTCATCGATTTATTTAGCCACACTGACAAGATAATGAAGTTTTTGTAAGGGCTGCGTCTTCAAACCGTAACTTCCACAACTTTGTTGCCATTTTTTATTCATGCCAGCTTTCCTCACCAGCGACTAGCGGGTTTCTGAAACTATTCCGTTATACCTCCGAAGGATCTTGTAAGCGAACTTGAAGCAAGTACGTCTGAGACAAGTAGAGATTGGTATATGTACCGCTTGGTACTCAAGTCTCTTGACATATCAGAACTGATATTGCGCGTGAAATTTTAAAAGAACTTAATTTTAATAAATACATTTTTGATCCGGCACCGATCAATTAAGAATGATCAATCAGTATCTGAACAAAAGCCATAAAATTTACACGATTTCATCCAACTGAAATTGATCGACGACTTAAGCGCATGAAGAGATTTGGAAAGAGGCACTCAACGGTGTAAACGTTTTCATCGGGATTAAGAAATAAGCCCGCATGGCTGCAAGAAACACCGCTTACGAGTTAGCACACTATATCGAATTCTAAGAGGCGCACAAGTTGTATTTTATATGGTTAAATGTTTTTGCTGAGAAGCAGAAGGACTTGATAACAAATAGTCTCGGTAGAGAAGACATTACAAACAGCAAAGCCAAGAAGCCGCGCAGGAGATTCAAGTGCTTTTATATTGTTTTCAACCGGTAAGCATTTCAAAGAAAATTCCGGATGAAAGAAGAAAACCTTTCCAATCGCTCTTTCACTTCCGCAGAAAAATTCGGTTCGATTCATTCACAACTTATGCAAGATTTGATTTTGTTTTCTTCATCATGAAGAAAAAAAATCTTAGTCATAGTAAAGGAAGTAAAACAAATTTTATTTTTCATTAAAAACTAAAGTCTCAATCTAATTTAAAAGAGTACACAACAAAAATCAACTTTAAATTACGCAGTCGATAGCTTTCGACTTCCTCATTCAATTGTCCTCGATATTTTGAAAGTTTGTAAGGGCATAATATTTATCTTCCTACATCCACCAACACAACGGATCTGTCTTTTGAAATGTAAAATCATCATAACTTAAATATGTAAAAAGGTTTCATTGAGGGTTTTCATGGATATACGGTGCACACATTGTTCTCCGCGGGTCTAAGGCTCGGAAGCCATTTGTGTTTTGAAATCGCGATAACCGAATATTCACGATTGCTTTCACACTTTGCACTTAGTTACACTTTAAAATCAAATCTTAGCTCGTAATAATGTTGTCTAAAGGTGGTTATCTTGGTTTTTCTTCCGCTTTTCGATTGAGAGTCGCAAAACTAGAATCGAAGTAATCACAAGTGCAAACCGGAACAAACATAACCAAGACAAGGACAGGATGCAAAACTGCCCGCAGCGGAGGAAAACATGAGTGGTCATGTGGTGATTGCATGGTTTCAGTCGTTGTTGTGGTTGTTGTTGTTATCATGCTTGCTTCCTCCCTCCTTCAGAGGTTTCAATAACTTCTCGCCATGAGCGCCGAGGAATGTGTGATCTATTCTGCTCACTGCTGCCCTTCTTACTCGCCACGCCGGTAATGGCTCTATCTGGGAGACCGTGGGCCGTTGAATCTTTTCGAGAAAAGTAGAGGCTACAGTTTTCGCCGCGAAAGTAGATAACTAACTGCAGCTATCCCATCATTTGAAGCTCTTCTATTCTCAAAGCATCATCAGTTCATACTGGGCTGGTTCTTCTCTTGTAGCAATCTTTTCCTGGTGATACGCAAGATAATAATTTTTAAAGGAAAAAACGACGCTTCGCAATTGAATTGTCGCTAGAATGACTCACTAGCGAGTTCTCTGTAACTTAAAGTGGTGGAACATCGGGGCGCACCGAAATACGACGTTCTGGATTCCATTCCTCGTTGACTTTGTTGTAGCTTGCAAGCAGGCTCTCATAATAAACGCAGCAAGACGCGTGTTTCTCTGCCCGTAAGAAGATGTGAGGCGAGTCGGGGGAAGTTAGCCGGAGGGCTGGCACTAATCATTATCAATGCAAGACCCGAGGCAGACCTCCCCTCCGCTCACGTTGCTGAAAGCCTCGTACTTTCGCTGTAGGCGAGGAAACACTTGTGTCGAAGCTTGAATTATGAGGGCCTTCGTGCAAGCTAACTTTGTCCCACTCATAAAATAAAGAAATAAAAGCTTCCTCTTTCCCTAATTTGTTTGTAAAAACAAAAATTAAACTATGGAATATTTCAATTACTTTATGCCAATTTGGTGAATGATGACTGGAAATATATGAAAATCATATATGTGCACTGCGGTATAAGAAACGAATATAAGCGATCCTCGCAGTTATGAACACTACTGATCTAGTAGTTGAAATAATGACCAGCTCCCAGTTGGCTTGTTAGCTCAGGTGGTAGAGCGCTGCACCGGTATCGCAGTGGTCATGGGTTCAAATCCCGTATGGATATCCTTTCCACTCAAAAAACAGCCCTACATTTAAAATAAATTAAAGTTTCTCTGGAGGATCACACAAATACAACCAAGCAAATCTTACAGAAAATCGTTGGCTGCCTGCAGTTCTTCAATCTTCTGTTCTGTCTGAGCCATCCATTGTTGGTACTTTTCACCCCAAGAAGTCTTTATCTACACGCAAAACAAATGCAATATTCCTCAGTGTTGGTCAGATGAAGAAATTTTGATGCCCGAAACGCGGGTACCAAGACACGATTTGCTTCAGTTTGCATGTAATTGGCTGAGAGACCAGCGCAAGTTTTTAAACCAATTTAATAAAAGAAAAAAGGAAACATTATTGTTAATGAAAACTCATTTCATTGGCAATGAAAACTCAAAGTAAAACTAAGCAAACTGCCTAAAGCGCGGGAAAACGCGGGCGACCAAGTCGTGATTGGTTTTCGTTTTTCACCTGATTGATTGAGAAAGTGGCGCGAGTTTTCTGGACCAATCACAGAGCGAAGTAAGGAAAGCCAATGCAATCTCGGTTTACTTAGTTTCAACATTCAATTGAAAACTGCTCTGTGCCAAAATGATAGGTACCTCTAACATGAGCTTTTCCTCTTTCGAACACCATTCTGCTTCTTTCCTGCTTAGTTCTTCCAACAAATTATCAACCTGCAGTTGAAGTCCTGTTTCCCTGGTACGCAACAATCTATTTTCTTTCTGAAGTTCCTCATTTTCCTGTTTGAGTTTTTCGAGTTCAGCTGCCATGTTTGAGTCTGACTGTCTGGCCTGTTAATAAAATGTACGCGTATTTCCAACGACGAATAACCTTGTTCTTGGTTCAATTGCTCAGTTGATTATAGAGATTCTCGGACTCTGATTGGTTGAGGGTTGAGTCATTTCTCGCTATAATCCACTCACGCGAGAGGATTAAAGCAAGGATATTTCAAAATGGCTACCTTGCGTATTGTTAATTTTACTAAGGAGGAGATGAGTGCAATAGCATATGATGTAGGTAACTCCGAAGAGTACAAAGGATGCTACTACGTTAGGCGTAACACTTTTCAAAAGAAAGATATAAAGTTCTTGCTGATCAAATTAAAAAAGCTTGATAAATTCTAGTGGAAACTGGCTGCTTATCTCGATATGAGGAAATCAGGAAAATCTGCAAGAATCGCAAATATTGTTCAGAATGATTCTAAATGTAAACACCCATACCTGCTTCTCTACTTCTTTTCTCAGTTCCTCGAGCTCAGCTTTGTGAAGTTCTTTCAAAGAGGCGATATTTTTCTGTAATATTCTGACATCCTCCTCTTGGAGCTTATTTTGAGGTACTGCACATGTGTCAGATGAAGTTGCCCTCTCCTTATGGTAATCAGCGAGACCTGGTGATCCTGTAGAAGCATTTATGGAAGAGGCTTTTGGTGTTCCCGTAGTTACATATTCTTTGTCCTTCTTAATGATGGTAGTGTTTTTTGCTTTGCGTAGTTCATCTAGGCGCTTCTTAAGATCTGAAACTTGCTGCTCAAGCTGAAATGGTGTAAATACATACAAAGCTGGTTGAGCACTAAATAAAAATATGTATTTAGTCATAGGAACAAGTGGGTAATAAATACAGATATTTTTTCATATTGTTTAGTCAAGTAATATGCTAGAAGTTACATTCCTAAGAGTCTAAATTTCAAACTTTTTTTAAGGGGAGCATGCCACCAGACCCCCCTTCAGAGAGAAGGTGGCCTGGCAACTCTATTCTAGGCACAGTCACATATTACAGCTGCTTATGGAAAAATGTTATTTTAAAAATCCCTGTGACTCTGTTATGTTGTTATCTGAATTGTATGTTAATCCTCTTCTTTCTCAAAAATGAAAAATACTGTGCTAAGAACATGGAACTCATACTGAGTAAAACAATCTGCCACTGGATTGACCTCCCAGAATCTTTAGCTAGGAAAGAGATCTCTCACATTTGGGGTTCAAGTAAAGATGCAGTTTTATAAGCATGTTTTTCAATCAGAGGCCATATGATTTATATTACTGATATTGAAATATTTAAATTATCATGCAATACACTAACTTTAAAAAAATTGATAAATCATGTTATTATTTCATATGAATGAGATTTCATAGTCCAGGACATGCTTGTTTGGCTGTCACATGGATTAAATGAGAGAGACCACCACTTTGACCCTTTCACTCTCAAGATCTCCTCAGTAATTCTCCTTACTGTTTGCAATAAAATTCTTATAGAGTTCTCATCACTAATCTGTTTAATATTGCATTGATTACCCGAGGAGAAATTCTGTCTTGATCATTCATGGGGGTTAAATTAAGGGCAAAGAGAAACTGCATAAAATTAAAGCTCCTTGTTGAGGGCAAAATGTACTTTCCCTTTGGTAATGAGCTCCAGTTGTGATAATTTCAAATGGATAGTATGGTTGCAGTAACATCTTGTTAATTCTTTAAACTTTACAGCCACCTCCAGATCTTTAACCCTTTAACTCCCATGAGTGACCAAGACAGAATTTCTCCATACAATATCAATGCAATTTTAACCAGATAAGTGATGAGAAAAAAGAAAAATATCAATTTGGGTATAATTAGTTGATTCAATACTAAATTCTCTAAACTAACATTATAAGGATTGTATGGTTGACAGTAAGGAGAACGACAAATTTGATCTGGGAGTTAAAGGGTTAAAAAGACTGAGGATTCTTCTCTTGCTGAATTCAAGGCAAGCATGAACAAACCTGGTACTTGATGCCAACGCTGTACTAGAGATAAACTTTGAACTCCAAAAAAAGATGATCATCAAGGGAATTCTCTTTGTTGTTTGTTGTTGAGTGCTATCTTGATGTTACACTACTTTCTTTTGATTTTTCTACATGGGAATGTGTGACATTTAAGTGACAGAGTTGTTGGTTTACTTTGCCCTTTAGGAGTTCATGTCCTTTTCATATTAGGTAACTAAGGGTTTAATAAAATAAGTGATTTGTTATATGATGGACCATGGGCCATTTAAGCCTCTTATTTCAACTTACTGTTGTAAAGAGAAACACGAAAATGATGAAATAAATTGTTGTGTATTGTAAAGAAGTCGGTAAAAATTCATCGCGAGTTTTACCGAGTTCTTTTTACAAACTGCTTACATTAACCTTCTTCGTAAGTAATTTAGCACTTAAGAAATTTCGCGACCGATATGTTTTTTAAATGTGTAAAACCTAACTTTACTGAGCTTGCTGCTTGAAAGATCACTGTTCAAAGCCAAAGTGTTTACGACAAGCTCACCTCCTTGATTTTAGCCTGAGAAAAATGATCCCCAACGACTCCTTCGCTTGATTTGCGAGCAGGGCTTGACACTGAAATCTTTTTGTTCCTAGCAGTAGAGGAAGATTTCTTCTGTGTTGACATATTCTCTAAAACTTGCTACGAGATATCATCATTAGACATGTCAGACTGTCACGCTGTCTTCTCCGTCATGTTGTGCTAAGTGAGAGGAGTCTGGGACAAAAAGTTTTTAACAGGCGTGGATACTTAGCAGTCGCCATTTTGAAATCTAAGGCCAAAAGTTCTTGATATAATTATTTGCAATTTGAGTGAGAACGAAGAAGATCAATGCCATTAAATATACTTCGAGGACTCTTCAGAGGCGCAACGCGTCGTGTTATGACAGGAAAGATGGGAAACAAGAATTTTTACAAAGGTACTTTACCTCACTACTGAACCGAGAGCCTGTTATCGCTGTTTTGATAATCAATCATTATAACATTATAATTTGCAAGACCAACTGCAATATCTCATAATTTATGAGATGTATAAGTTGCTGTTGGTCATGCAAACTAAAGTGTTTTACTGCGTAAATTGTAGTTAACGCAAAAGAGGTTTTAAGGTAATTTTAGTCTATCAACTTAGTTGATAGAAAGGAACATGCAATCCCCTTATTTCTAACTGCAAAAATTCTACCTTCTCACTTGATGAAGCTGCATGTGAATTAATGTTCGATGTTCATAATGACAGAGCACCTTCAAATATCATGAAACTTTTTACAAGAACTTCAAACGTCCATAAATATATACTACTCAATCATCAACGTCACCAAACTGAGGATTCCTATATAGAGCCTGATGAAACAATGCTAAAATTCAAACACAGCAAAATTGAACCAAATTGAACCAGTTCTACAATATGTATCGTACACTTTAAAACTCTAGAACTTTTTCTCCTTTACAATGAACTTCTGTAATTTTCCTTTTTTTCTTTTGTTGTCTACCTTTTTGTCTTTTTATGTTATACTTCTTCATTTCTGTTGTATTTCCAGTGTAATTAAATTAAGTTTGTCAAGAAAAAAATTTGACCAGCCTCGTTAGTATTTGCTCTCTGTGGGTCAAAGGAATATCTTGTAAATATGTAAGAAAATAAAAATAAAAGTGTGTGAAAAGCTTAGGGGCAGCTGCTGTAAAATCTAGAACCATGCAATGGTGATACCTGCAGCTTTTTTGATTTGTATAGATCAGAAGCATGTATATACAATACTTCACTGTAGTTTGTAATGGTTAGCATCATGGCAATACTTGAATTCTTCTTTTCTACAATGTTAAAACAATTGAAGTTGAAGACTCTATCAATTTTTGCAGGGCGAGGAGTCAGAAACCCTGGATTTCACACAAGAAGAGGTAACTTAACCCCACTGCTTGCATTTAGTGTGTGTATCGTTTTCTGGGCCTATGAGGGAGATGTGGTGGCCTTAGTGCACCAGACTCAGATTGAGAGGGCTGAGTCATTGCGTTGTATTCTTGGACAAAGCACTTTACTTTCACAGTGCCCATCTCTACCCAAGAATTTAAAAGGGTACCTGATAATTAAAAAAAAAAAAAAGAGAGCAGGAAAAAATTTATTTGAACATATGAAACTAATGAGCCAATCAAAGGCCCACAAAAATATACATGCAGATGGTCAGGAAGCCAGATGAAATGCTGTGGAGGGGGAAGGGGGGGGATCATGCAATGGACTGGTATCCCATCCAGGGAGGGAGGGAAGTAATAATCCTTGTCAACTCATGCTACGGAAAGCGTAGCCTGCAGTGCAGGCGTCTTATTAGGGCAAGTTAACAACAAGAAGCATGTGATGGTTTATTCAACCAGCCATGTTTGAGTTGGAGTTAGAGTTGACAATGGAGGAAGAGGGCTGTGAAAAGCAAAAATAGAATATTCACTCCCCAACCCCTCCCCATTCCTTATTTTTTACTGTTGCCTACCCCCTTGGTACAAATTTTTTTCCCTCACCTTCTGCTGCCATTAAAATTAAAGATGGAAGCCATAATTCTTTGCAAAGAAAATACTATGCACTCGCTTGTCAAAATTTCGCCGGCTCTGCAGGCTGTGGAAACTAGGATAAGTTCTGGCACCATTGGCCATGATGAGTACAGAATTTCTTTTTGAATGATAAAAATACAAAGGGCTGTTAGATTAGGGTAATTTAGTTTAATCAACTCAATTGATAACATAAATTGGCCACCATAAAGAGTTTCAAAGCTGATGTTTTGCATGGAGTGTTAGCCCTTTGTTGGAGCAAATGATGAAGGGCTAGCACTCAGAACATCAGCTTTGATACTCTTTATGGTGGCCAATTCACGTTATCAACTCAGTTGATAATACTAAATTACCCTGTTATACTCTCCCACTGACAGAGGAACACAGTTTCTTAAGAAACTCACCCCTTTTATGCATTTGCTGATAGATGATTTTGACAGATCATAATTAAGAACTAGTTGAAATGGATAGGTAATTTAGCTTATTGTATAATCTGTTTCATAATGATTCAATAATGATAATTAATGTGTATTAAATTTTATTATTTTTTTCTTTTGGTGCAGCTGGTTACATTATAGCTCAAAGAAAAGTGCCACAGTTTATTATTCCAGACCTGACAGGCTTTGAGGTAACAAAGTTAACCTAACCCTCACACTCCCGTGAGTGACCAAGACAGAATTTCTCCTTACAATATCAATACAATATCAAGCACACAAGTGATGAGAATAAAGAAAAAATTTCAATTAGGGGAAGTATTTGTTGATCCAATACCAAATTCTCCCAACTAACATAGTAAGAATTATATGGCAAACTGTAAGGAGAATTACAAGTGTAATCATGGAAGTAAAAAGGTTCAATAAATTTTTTGATCTTGGACCAGGATATTGTTGAATATTTTGTATACCAATTTTATCCTTTTTTGAACAAACAGTTGGTCAGCAGGGCTCACTAAGTTTTGCACTGTCACAAACTCCTAAGTGAATCTGTAGCAAAAGTGTACAGTAATGAAAAATTGCACAAATGTTTTGTGAAAAATTAAGAGTTCATATTCTTTCTACACTTAAACCGCTTTTAAGGATATTTATGCAGTCAACTACAACTGAGAACATCTCAGCATACATAGCAACATAATTATAACAAAACCTGCCTAGAGTGCATTTTTGCAAACAACCTACCAAAGTTTGCTGCTAAATTTCAGCCAGTGTCCACGACTGAAGTTATGGTGTCCAGATAATATTATGCACCCAAATCTTTCAACTTGTTTCCTGGAGGGAAAACGTGTCACTTTTCTTACGAATCAGACTTATTTGGACCTTAATCAAGATCGTCATAAAAGAACACGTTTTACCGTAAGGATTTAAAGTCATTTGAAGATCAGGGGGCAAACTTGTTTTATCTGTTGGGCGGAACCTGTCTCGATGGAGGCGAAGTGGTCGAGGGCGAACGTGCTATGGGGCGACACCTCCATAAACCAGCGATTGTTTCATATTGGCGCGCTAGGCGCGCGAGAGCTCTTGTAGAAATTCCACTCTCTCTCTTGCGCGCGTGTTTCTTCTGATCTCCTGCCTCAAAAACTACAACGTTAAGACGGCCGGAAAAAAAAAAAAAAAACAGTATAGTTTTAACACACTTGCGTATTTCTCTTTTTTCTTCCTCACCAGTTAAAACCATACGTTTCGATGAAGGCGCCGAAAACTACATCACCGGAGTTAACAGCTGAAGATCTTTTGAAAAATATCAAGGAGAACATTCACCTAATTAAGTACAGAGAAATTCCGTGAATAAATATTATGAGTTGTCCCTCCTTTTTGTGAAGTTCGTCGCGTGAGTCAAAAAGTAAAAAAAAAAAAATTTGCGAAAAAGGAAATTGATGCTAGGGTGCCGCGCGGAACTCTGGGAGCCTCCCCTAATTCCCTGCGCGAAGCGACGGACTTCGCCGGAAAGAAAGGACTGCTCGCAGCCCACTGTGAATGCCAACAGACTTGTACTTTTTCTCACATTTTTACCGTCCACGATCAAGAATATAAGATGTGCGAAGAATTTAGGAGGTGAAGAAGATTCAAGCCAAATGCAGTGGAAGTGATGGATATTTTGTATAAACTTTTTGTAAGAAACTTGGGAAGGTTTACTCTTAAATCCCAGACCTTATAAATAATAAACACAGATAAAGTTTTGGAAATTTGGCAGTCACGTTACTCATGTAGTATTTTTTCGAGGGTTGGAAACTGTTCCGAAAATATAGATAGATTCTGAATAAAGAAGGAAAACCCGCCTTTTCGTTCAACTTCTGAGCAATTTTAGCACAGTTAACAATCTGTCTAACTCTTAACACGAAACGGAAGATTTTCCCGTGAGAACAAATTAGGACTATAAAGGATTGGAACGAGACATCGTTAAGACAAACACAACGGTCAAACTCAGGGCACGAGCTGGGTGATCAATTTCGGCTGCCGATGGCTTTATTTTCTAGCGTGATGGAAGTTGAAAAGTCGTCAATACGATCAATAGAACCATACCAGATTTACAATGGTGATTGTGAAAATAAAACTATTTAAGACGACGATGGCTGATTGGATGAGTATCCAACCACTTGATTCTGTCTTCTTCATTCAAGGTTGAAAAGTCGTCAATACGATCACGTGCTCTGGAGTTTCCCCGGAAAACCATACCAGATTTACAATGGTGATTGTGAAAACGAAACTGATTTTCAGACGATGATGGCTCGAGAACCACACCCTCCAGGGTGACACTGCTGAACTTAATGCTATGAACAGTTGTGCTCTATCTTACTTTGTTGAAGATGTGTCACTTCGCAGTTTCCGCTCGTCTTTGTAGGGTTTGCTCACAATTCCTAGATTTGTCACCTCAACACACCTTATCCATAGCTGCAGCATACCATTTCTATAGCTGCAGCATACCTTTTCCATAGCTGCTGCATACTTTTCCATTGCTGCTGCATACCTTTTTCATAGCTGCGGCATACCTTTTCCATAGCTGTTGCATACCTTTTCCATAGCTGCTGCATACATTTTCCATAGCTGCTGAATACTTTTCCATTGCTGCTGCATACCTTTTTCATAGCTGCGGCATACCTTTTCCATAGCTGTTGCATACCTTTTCCATAGCTGCTGCATACCTTTTCCATAGCTGCGGCATACCTTTTCCAGAGCTGCTGCATACTTTTTCCACAGTTGCGCCGTTACTTGTGAATACACTTTGAGCAACTATTCGGAAAACACCGTCAATACCATCCGTTTATATCGCTTTTAAAAGACATATCTTTAAATTGATTCATTTCAACTAGTAAGACAGCGACTTATTTTTGTATTTTATTAATTTTAATTAGGTTATCCTACAGAATGGAGGCTGGGCATTGTAAGAGTTTCATTTATTTACTTTTCTTAAAATTTTAAATTGGTAGACACAGACTTACGAAATGCGTCTTTAGAACTCATAATTATTATTATTATTATTATTATTATTATTATCATCATTATTACCATTATTGTTATTACTATTTATTGTTGTTATTATCATTATGAAGGTGGTCTTTACATGCTATTTAACTCTCTTATGTATTCATCTACAGTAAATATTTTCTCATTGAATGTGTCTCTATGGTAACCAAAGTTTTAAGAATATGACGCAGGCTTATGGTCCATTTCTTTATTTTGCAGTCCATGTCGATTTCAAATTTGGCGTAAACAAAGGAAAGCTTTTTTTTCGTTTCAATAGCGTTCAAGGTTGATATTTTAATTGCCTCAATTCACCGATGGTATGCGTTTGAAGACGATAACCGAAGAGGATTTCGATTACAGTGCAATAAATGAAAAAATCCCATTACGGTAAGTGCAAAATATAACGGGAATCTCTGTCTTTTTTTTTTTTTTTTTTAGAGGAACAGTTTATGTTGAATTTAGCGCCTGAACTCACTTCAATAATGATTCATTTATCTATGGATAACTTGTCGCTAAATGTCGCTCTTGCGAAGAAAGATTCCGCGACAGTTAATTGTGCTGTTTTTCTTTTTGTGATGAAGATAACAAAAGAGGAACAGAGTTAATTAACATTTGCCGTTCGATCTGCACTGTGCCTTCGCTCTTTGAAAATATTCGCAAAACAATACCTTCATTTTACCGAACGTTGCTATTTGAGCTCTCCTTGTAACAGTCGACAGTTTTGCGGGGGTTCAACTGAGCGCTTTGGTATTTTTTTTTCTTTTTCAGGAACAAATTTTTGAGATTTGAGATTGGTGAACAATCTGCGAACTACTTCTTGCAAAGTTTTGTTTAGGTAGTGAAACGTTAATTTGCCGGAATGTCAGCGAATATATTTCGACTTAAATTACTAATACTAGATGAGTTATAACACTTTATGATTGTGAGAAACATTTAACAGAATTCTAAAAAGCTTTTGCTTCTCTTGGACTGAAAAAAAATTACCACGATGTCAGTATTTTGGCGTCTTCTACATTTTTTGTCGCATCAGTCATGTTTTTCATTTCCTTACCTATCTATTCATTTTCCACTTTCCAAATATACTCATTTTTTCAAGGAAATTGCGTTTGTCTAGTATGAAGAGGTGAGATGTAATTCCTAGTGCGAGGTCACATGCTCTCTGCCACAACTTTTGATTGGTTCGTCGCGATTCTAACAAAGTTTAAACATTAGGCAGTTAGGTTATATAACATACATAGGTCAATATTGATAAATGACGTCACTATCGTCGCTTTTAGACGTCATGTATGTTCATTGTTCATGTATACGTTACAAACATATATTAGGCTGCATGGAAAAGTTATCTCTATTTTGCTAGCACTCATGTCAAACGCCACTGGCGTTACGCAAGGGTTGATTCGTATTCCCTGCACATTGCGCAGGCGGTTTCCGACCATTTTTCGGCGGCTTAAATCGATATGCTTAGAGAGGAGCGAGGGGAACTGGGTCTAGTGCATGAAATTGAGGCAGGTAAAACTTCCTTATTCCTATATGCAATAAGATTGTCATCGAAAGATAAAAAAATCGTGCATTGAAGGCATCTGAGGTCAGCCGACTTCTACTGAAGTTTAACAGAGGAATTTCAAGGTCTTCTGAATCCTGAGCGGCTCCTAAGAGACTCAATTATGAAAGTTTGAGACGACATCTGTTTATTTAACGAGCGCAGCGACATAAAATTAATTCAATCGGCAATATATTTTACATGCGGTCAGTTATAATTCCGTTTTATTTGAGAAAAGGGAAAGGGCATTGTCACTGTTGACAATTTTCCGCCTGGCTTGTACGTATACTTGTCAAATACAATTTTAAATTGGAGTGAGATTCTATAGCACAAACAATAATACAAAAAAGCCGACAAGGAGGAAAAAAGTCCAAGAAGCCATGTGTTTGCTTAGAAATGGGTTCAAATTGTGTTTTCCATGTGATCAAAAGGAGGTTTCTTCTTAAAAGCTTTCAAGCAGGTGAAAGCGGTTCACTCTTAATTATGTTTCTGTAAACATGAAAAATGACGTTCTGCTTGTCTAAACGATCAAAGGCGTTTAACATTTTCGCAGTATTTGAAGCCCGGTAATGCAATTCGACCGTTTATTTCGGCTTGCAACGACTTGCAAATAGCGCAAAATGTGCAGAACACAAATTTAAACATATTCCGAAGAGAATGACCACTTATAAACAGTGTATTGCGATTCTGGTCTCTTGAATACCCTTCTTTTTCCTCTTTTTTTTTTCCATCTTCAACCGCTTTTAAAAAGAAAGCTAATGGTCCATGCATACCGTTGACGTTGAAAATTAGGATTGGCGGCCCATAAGTTTGTTTAAAACTTTAGTTAGCTCCGGTTAACCTGAAGTTTGTGATGTGGGAATTTTAATTCTTCTGCTTTCATGTGAGGAACAAATGCCTGGCTGCAGAAATAATAATCTGAATTGAACTCTGGTATCCATTCCGTGCTTCAAGAGGATGTCAAAACAATGGGTTATGTGCAACCTTTTATTTCTGTACCATAATTGCCGGACGGCTAACGTCATATACAATCGTTTCTCTGCCTTACGTGGGTGGCAAACATTTATGCAATAATTTTCAGCCAAAACACATCGTATAATTATTCTGTACAACTGGATAACATTCGCGTTTGCTGAATTACGAGTAACTTTTGGTTGTGCCGGTTCAAACAAGCTAATTCGTTAAAGGCAAGAAAAAGAAGGTTTTCTTGTTTTCTTATGTAGCAGTGTAGCAGACTAAGGAGCGATCGCATTATGCAAGGGTTAAGCGATTTTGGAGATCTCTATCGTACTCAACGGTAAGTGAGCGAGCTTTTTTTCCTGTCTGTAAATCTGCAGGATTTCACAATGGGTTTCTTCTTTTTCCGACTTACTGGTAACGCTTGATTAAAGTGACTCGAAAAATATACCACCATTTATTGTTTGAATTATTAGAAGCTATGTATGCAAGATGTTTTAGTCGCAACAAAACTGGAATGGTGACAAAAGTGTCACATGAAAATTAAATGAATAAAATGAATGTTTCTAGAACGACTCAATTTTAGAATGAAGATTTGAGCTAGTGACATTAACGGGCTTTATCTAATAAAAGTAAGCCAAAATGACGCACATTCATGTTGTAGAAAGATCTGCCGGGGAGTTCCAGAGATAATTGTAATCTAGAGGTAAAATTGATTGCACATTTCATTTCTGATAAATGAATCGTTTCGTTGAATATTCATGCAAAATTTCCGGGTTTTTTTTTTACGTTTTTTAATTAAATGGCTTTCAGTCTAGTTTACAGAACTTGATGTTTGTTCCTAGCTCTTAGCTAGCCACCACGTTTCACTATAAAGTTGGTTTCCGACGGCAAATAAGACATGAAGTCCTGAAATTCGGGTGTAATTGAAAACTCGATGAGTGCCGGAGAAAATTACAGTATTTTATCTCGCTCAGATGTTTTAAAAACAAGCAATTTTAACGTCCCTTTATGATAAGCGGTTCAAATTTTAAGTTCAAGTTTATTTGAAAATTTTATACTGAGAGGTAAATAACATTTTATCGATCGAGAAGTACAAAACATCAAAATTATTTTGTAAAAATGTAATAAAGCGGATATTCGCATCCGATATGTGAGGATCATGCGTTAAATGAGTTGTTTACCATTCGACTGGGCAGCAAATATCGATGATGGCTTTCAAGT